AACCGTACGCTTAGTATAGGAAAGCAGCGTAGCTGAATTTGAAAGCTTAGCTCAGACGTACACAGAGAATATCTTTGCAGACAGCTTTCAATCTTGTTCGGTTCCTGAAATCGTTCCCCGCCAAAGAAATATGAATGCGAAATCTGGGTGCGTACGAGGGGAGAAATATAGGGTGGAGATAAGCCCCTAAAATTTCTGCGTCTCAGCTTTCCTAGTTACTGAGTTGGAGTTGGGGAACAAAGTTCACTCGATTCTGAAAACAAAAACATGGACGACTTCTCGACAATATGCTTTTTCGCCCACTGTAGAGAAACGCATAAAAATGACTTACGATTTTGTGCTGCTGCCGTCCTCATTGATTTGTGACAGCGATTCTGTATCGTTGACCTCATGATTTGTCAATGATAGCAATGATTTATTGCTTTCATCATCTTCCGGCAGTGATGATAATGATGTGTCACTGCTGTCCCCACTAGCCAAAGCTACCGATGATGTATCTCTGTGTCCGCTACGACTTCGTGACAACAATGATAAACTGCTTCTCTCATCGCTGGCTTCTGATGGCGGTGGTGCATTGTTGTATTCCTCACTGTCCAAATCCGCTGATGATGTGTCGCTTTTTCCGTTACAGGTCTGTGATAACGGAGAATCGTTTTCTTCATCGCTGACCAATGGTGAGGATGATGTGTTGTTGTCTCCTCTGTTGACCAGTAGCCGCGGTGATGCGTTGCTTCCCTCAGTGGTAGTAACTTGCATATGCCACTGCTCATCGTTTGGATCTATAACAATATAAATGCATTGTCACTTACTGAATTCTTTAAGCAGCAAGATAGACTTTTTCTAAGTTAAATTTCCATCTAATTCTACAGAATTTTAAAAATTTCAACAATTGATTCTGTCGAAAGAATTGCGGAGTTTTTAATCTTTTAAGAAACCATGCGAACGTCAAAACCGCCAGCAGACTGACCAACAGACGATGCAAGACTAATCGAAATGAAAGTCAAAAATCACGCTATTAATTTCATCTGTTTAAGATAACATAGTAAAGTACTGAAGATTTTGCAGCCAAATGCAAGACGCAAATTTGAATTGTCTAGAAGTAAGGAGAGCAACATGGAATAGTGATCTCAAGGTAACAGTCGCGGGTGAACTGCTCGGACGTCAGAGAGTACTAAGAATCTAGCAATACTGGGGAAGTTTCAGTTCTGCTCATTTCTGCCTCACCTCTCCATCCAGGCATCTACACTGTTATCAGTGTTAAGCGTGAACCAGCTTCGCGGACATGCCTCACTTTCACAGAGATACACATAAGCGGCAGTTGATACGGGGCGACAAGAGATTTAGGGAGGTCATCCTCAGACACGCTTTGTGGAGGTTTTCCTCAAGCACGGTTTTTGATCTGGAAATGAATGGAGAGGTTAAAAAGGCTTTTAAGGTTAAATCAAAATTAACAATCTAGAATGAGTGGATCGGCTCCGAGCAGACAGTTAAGCAATACTGTAATCGCAGCCACTCTTGCAAATCAAATATAAACCCAGGCTGCAGCGCACTAGGCTTGCCGGCACGGCCATGGGTTTTTGCTTTAAACTTGCAGATCGCTGACAGCAGGAATGGTTTCTGCGCTGCAGCTTAACACCTGGACTCACACTGACTATGTTTTGACACTGCGTCGCAAGCGGTGGGAAAAGGCGTCGGCTAGGGTGATACTGCATTATGCGGCGGCGTTCATGGTTATTAATTTTCTGCACGAAGACCGGCCGTTTTTCTGGTAAGTGATCGTTCATCAAAAAAACATAAATCTGAAGGAAGTCAGAAAAGTATTATGAAATCTGCAAAATGCACTCGCTCTTGAGTTGGCGATAGAATTTAATATTTGTCATGACTGTGTGAAAGGAATTTCACTTCCAAGTTGAAACTACATGTGAATATAGAATATTCTTGCAAAATTTCAGCTTCCCAGCTTGCCTGATAAACGAAATACCACCTCACTACAAATATTTTTGAAGTATCCTAAGTCGTGGCGAAGCGCAAATCGAAACTCAATTTAGCTATGCGGTTTTCCATATGGACAGCAAATATTCTGACGAAGTCTCATCTGCGTTTTTTCGGCTAGTTTTCGAGTTATCATAGTGATAACTGCGAACTTTGACGTAGCCGTACGCCGCTACAAGTGTTTGCAGTGGCCGAATTTGAAATCTTTAGCTCATGAGTGCACAGAGAATATCCCTGCAAAGTTCCAACTTTCTGCCTTGCCTGATTCACATAATCGTTTCCTGCCCAAGAATTTGCATATTTATTTCGGGGTCCGAATGCGAGATCAGGGTGCGTATGAGCGAAAACGGGAAGGAGACACGTGGGATGGAAATATGAAACGGGGAGGTGACACGTGAGATGGGAATATGACCCCAAAATTTTAGCCTCCTAGCTTTCCCGGTTGTTGAGTTGGAAGTGGGTGTTCACTCAGTTCCAGATACATACACATACACGGGCGACCTCTCAACAATATGAGTTTTGCTCACTGTAGCAGCGATAGTGCTGCAGAGCAAAAACACATATCTAGCAAAAAGAGGAATTGCAATCTTTATCTTCACTGTTTTCGGGTCGTTTGGCATGCTCTGTTTCTATTACTTTGAATTTTTGCGCTACCGCGCTAATCAGCGAAGCTTTTATGGTATGCGTAGAAGTCGTTCATTCTGTCTTTTTCTATTGAAATTCTACTGCAAAGACAACAACTTTTTGGCTCTACTTTTTTTTCACATACAGACTCTTTATTTCCTTACATACTGGTCACAGTTTTTCGAAGACTGAAGGACCGTTCCAGAAAAAGTCAGGAAAGGATGAACGATGTGCAGTTTTATCACCTTACTGTGTTTTATCACCCTGTTTCACCAGCATAAAATCAAGTAAATAGTATTATGATTATAGCCTGCTTAATGCAGGGCCTATGCTAAAAATGTTATTTTTTCGTACAAACCGAAATGCATAACTTCATTTCAATGGGTTTCTTATTTTAATACTAAATTGAAACTTCAGTCATACCTCTTATATTGGGCCCATTCGCCTCTACCAAAATCATTATTGTGACAAGCTGCGAAATGACTGCGGAAATATTGAACACGTTCATTGTTCTGTATTTCGACCTATATTTGGTATACTTTAACAATCACAAAAACAAGCAACTGTGTTTTTTTTTTTTTGTCACTTCGGATAACTGTCACTTCAGCGTAGTTTGCCAAAATGCAATCAAAAAGTTGATTAAAAAGAAAATATGAGCCTCGTGGCCAACATTGCTTCAATTGATGGTCATTTTGCTGTGATCTTAGTATTTTCTTTTTGGTCAAAATAGGGAAGCGCAACCCTTCCGTAATCACTTTTTATGTGAGACGAAAGTAATCGCTAGTATTCCCAGTGTAGCAAGTACCAGCAGTAACTGCCAGCTGGTTGAGCTGTCGATGGCTCTGTCTCTCGAGGGTTGCTTAGAAGCAAACTGGTGTCGAACCGGCCACAACCCCAGTCAAAAAAAGTCTAAAAGCGGGATATCGTTTAAACGTGAGAGAAGTGGCAACTACTCTTATCAAAATGTAATAGACGATGTTGTTTGAAATTTCAGTGTAAATTTCTCATTATTGTGAAATGAAAGAAGATGTTACGGAGGAAGGATAGGGTTGGGGAGGGAAAAAAAGATTTTGCCCAGAAAACTGCCACGATGGATGGTAGTCGCTTCCAGAAATTATCATATTGAAATCTGCTTCATAGCAGCGACGGAAGGGGAAATTCGTGTGATCTAAACCGTAACTAGCTGTTGGCCACTAACGTCATTTAGATCGTGCAACAGTCAAACAGTGGTACTTGCAAGAAACAACTTTTACTCCGATAAGACTCTACAAAATGGCATACTCAGCGTTGTCCAAGATGAAATATTCAAACACGACTTTGGATGGGCTCGCCTCAACAACACTGAAAGATCGATGTCTGTGCTGACGAAACTCCGGCGTCCTCGAATATTCAACAGGTACTAGCTATGGTCTGAAAGTTTCAGCACAGCCTTTTATAGACTCGATTCTGCACGCATATCAGTATATGTCATCACCTCTATGTTTCTGTTCATCACCTCGATTTGCTTTGCACCTGCTGTTTAATAAGTCACCTGATTTTCACTGTATGTTGTTTTTTGCTCCCGCGATAATCGCGTTACTTTTTATGCGTTTTTTGCAGCTATGCAATGCAGAAAACGCATTTTGACGAAGTGTTATCTGTGTATGTGCGTGTGTCTGTATGTTCGCCCTTACCGATTTTTCATTTCAAGACCTACAAAAAGTACAGGGCTGAAACTGTGGGAGTTTAATCTAAATGCCCCCGTCCTCAAAATCGGCGCACTTATCGGCGTGGCATTCACGTGCGGACCCGCCAAATTTTTTTATGGGCAAGCTGCTAACTCGGAAACCAGAAAATCTAGAAAGCTAAAATTTTAAGGGGTCTCCGCCAACGTAAGCCTTAATCATTGGCGACGCGCGCTGGTGGGCCCCGTGCGATCATGCGTTTTTGCAGTGTTTCGTGCTGTAATAAGATTACTCGAAATTCCGCTGGCTAGAAACCTCTTGTACATACTGGTCCTCGAATTTCGGGAACTTAATTATCCACGCT